CCTGCATCTGTAAGCTGTACAGTTATAGATTACTTCCATAATGAAACGTTTGTTTTCTTCTCCTTTTTTCTCAATTGAAATTATTTAAAAGATGATGAAAGCTTTGTTTCCAGGGATCAATTCTGTACTCAGTCTAATCATTACAAACGATTATAAACGTCACATTATTTAAAGATATGTATGCCGTGTTAAACAGTATTTTTGCACAGCTGAAACCGAACAAAAATTTCTGGAGTATGATAAGCTACCAGAAATGAAGCAATCTTGCAAATTCGACGAAATTTTATTCGGTATTAACAAAGTACTGGTCAGGAAAAGAACACGATATTCTCATGCATATTTATAAAGGACTGATGTTTATCCTGGATCTGCGCATGTGCGCGGGAAAAGCATCGCGAGAATCATCAGGTCGAGGAAACTATTTTTTGTGACGTCTGTTCAGTGAGGGACACAAATAGACCAATCAGCTCAATGAGTTGCATTTAATGCATTTATGGGTTACTACATAAAATACTACATGTGTTTTTCAAAAAGGCTAGTTTTTTAAATCGCTCTCAGAAAGACCTGATGCATTATGTACATTATTATCCACTAATCCCATGCTCATATTTGCATACAAATGATTAACAATGATGAAAATTAAAGTTTTCCCCACTCCATTGTACAGGTCCGTTTGTTTAGAGTTTCCCCGTGCTGTACTGCTAGTGGACATTTTCGGTTGGGTGAACAATTACGGATCTTCAGTATGGAGCGCATCATGCGCAAAAGATATTTCATGTCAAATACAATGTATGGAAAGTAATTTAAACTGCTATGTTTACACCCTGAATGGGATATCGTCATTATCCCTTTTGGCTTTTTAATATGAACTACATAACATATGTAGATGAAACTTACATACCATACATCTTGCCTTCTTAGAAATATAGTTGGGCTAATAAAATAAAATTGGTCAAGGAATTCCAGGCCTCTAAAAACTATTCCAGTTTGAGGGCACAACCAAGCATTTTGATGAACACCATTAAGAAAAATTAATTCAGGTAGGTAGCATCGGTTTTTTTTTAAAGTGGGTGGGGGGATAGAACAGTTAGAATAAAAATCAACTAGCTCGAAGAAATCTGACAAGTAAAATAGGTTTCAATATCTTTCACTACTAAATTTTATTCATTCACTACAATTTACTGCCAAACTCCAAATTTCACTTTCGAATTAGCCCGAGCCAATGCTGATAACCAACTTGCAAGATTTTTTATATTATTTTCAAGGGGTCAGAAATACTGTGGTTCATATGTAAAGAATATAAATATATTATTTAGTAGTATATTGGTTTTGGCATTCGGTATATTGTGCAGATTTATACATGATATTCTGTGGAATACTTTTTGTTGTTTTGAACCATTAAGAAATGCAGAATCGAATGTATCTGATAACCATTTTGATTGATCAAATTATATTATTTGTTTGTATTGGTTATTTCATTTTGGCACAACATGGTTTCCATACTTCTTTATCCATAGTCGCTGACAGCTGTAGAAGTTCACCCAACCGAAAATGTCCATTGAAAAGGCAATTGCCCGTGATTATTCCTCGGTACAAAAAGCAACCAACTCTGAGGTGCTCACAATATTGACAATCCCTAACTCACGTGTTTGTAGTAAAAACGTAGTAGACCATCATGCTTTTCGGTTCATTCACGAGTTTGGGCCATTGTTTCCTGTAAACATGCGAGACAACGTGGTCATGAATATCACAATAAGAGGCGGCTTTTTATCCGACACGGAGAGAAAATTTTTACCAAATAATATTTCGTAACTTTTAAAAGTGATGGAGTGGAATTGTCTTATTTGCAGAAAGTATATAACTTATATAACTTGATGAGACACCACATATATTTATTACTTTTAAAATAAAACACTAATACGGCATATATAGCTTTAAATATTTGCCAAATACTCAGTATATGTTCGTTTATATATATCGTGCTTACAAGACTCTTTTTTGAATTATTGTCATGTACCATTTACTAATTCGAACATTTATTGTATTTAAAGTCAATAGTGTACATTTCTTAAAACTTTATTATCTTGTTTACTTGTCTTTCTTCCTTTCGTACAATTCCAATCTTAAAAAAATGACAAAACGAACAACAAAATCAGCAGTAATTAATTCTTAATAACATAGCGTTTTTACTGTTTTATAGTGATACAAGTGTTTTATAGCGATAAATAAAAAGGTCTCTTTAATTTCATTATAAATAAAATTTGATAGTTATTGCTTGCAGACTTTACAATTTTGTTATTATTCTTTTCCCCTTTCTTGTTTGAAGAGTGAATGGGAATCAGCCGAGGTTTGCCGAAAGCTCTCGGCCAGCCAACGTTTACGGAGATGACAGAGCGACAACCGTGGTAGGGCTAATGCCCGTAAAAAGCTTATTTAGAAATACAAAATCAAGAAATTCAAAAGAAGTATAGATCTGTTTACTATTTAAAATTGTTGCTAAAGACGGTAAGCTTTTTTGAAAAGTATACTTGTTTTATTTTCTTTTTGAGTAGGCTTTACAGTTACCTAATTTCAGAGTCAACAGAGCATGAAAGACAATTAAATTTGCAACATCAACATATTTTTTTTCGTTCTGAGCACATTTGGACGCCACCAATGGAGACAATTAGGAAGAAATTTTTGAAATTAAACTTCCTGTCTTTCAAACTGAAAATCTCAGGTTGATATTTTGAAACATACATTTGTGACATCAGTCTGGGATGTTATTGGTTTTTCCATTTAGTTAAGTACTACAAAAGTCAGTGTGTCTGCTTCTTCGCTGATGACATCGGACAAAAATATGCATGCTTACTTTAATATCATCACTGACTGCATTTTTTGTTAGTCTACACTGTACAGTCAAATTCCATGAAAGCATGCTAACCGCTTTTCAGTACTTTCAGTACTTTGATTTAATCTACATCCTTGTTTGTAAATTTGGTGAAATCTGCTCAGTCGTTTCCCCAAGATTCTTTAGCATCCAGTACTTTTTTCTATTTTTCTAGGTACCTACCCTTGTTTAAGAGTCACAACCCTAGTTTAGTATAAACAGGAGCTCTTGGACCAAGGATACGCTGAAACAAATTTGACAATTATTAGCCAAGGAGTTCTTGAGTTATGGTCCATATTCTAAAAGTTTATGTACACCATACAACTGGCCATGGCTCTGAATTTCGAGTTTTCCTTTTTAAGGAGCGATTTTTAATCGTAAAAATCTTCTCAAGATCAGCAAAGCCTTGATTGATGATAATAATATGAGAATTTCCTCCTGCAGAGTTAATTCATGTTTGTTCATATAATGACCCCTGTGTGTAGAGTGGGGTCATAATAGGCAATCAAAGCTTTACATAGAATAGAAATATATAGAAAAAATCTTTTAAAACAGCCAGGCCACAACATATATGGTGATATTTATATAATGGAAGCATCCTCAGGTAGTGTAGTAATCAGAATTCTTGGGGTTAGGGTGGGAACACAATGTGGGATCAATTTTTACATACATGTAAGGAATATATGCAAAAATATCTTTAAAATTTTTTTCTGGAGAAAACCAAATCCATGATTAGTAATTTTTATACCGGGTATATGGAACTTATGGAAGTATCCTCAGGTGGGTTAGATTCGATTAAATTTTACATTGGAATATATAGGAAATTTTTTCTAAGAACAGCAAGGCCTTGATTAGTCATTTTTATTGAAGCATCCTCAAGTTTTGTCCAAATCATGACCCCCGGGGTTTGAGTGGGGCAACAATGGGGGGATCAAAGTTCAACATAGGAATATATAGGAACAATCCTCCCAAGAACAGCAAAGCTATTATTAGTCATTTTTGCATGGATGCATGCTCGGTATATTCAAGTTTTCTTTTCTTTTCATGATCACTGGGGGTAGGATAGGGCCACAATAAAAATTCGAACTCGAACGAAAAAAGTCACAGTTAAAAAAAAAAATAAGTAAGGATCCTTAGTTAGTGTATATTCTCAGACCTGCCTACTCTTTTTATTGCGAGGGTGCAATTTCAGTACATTTTTGGTGGAATTTCACAGGTAAAAGCGTAATCAATCACGTTTTCCTATTTTTTTGTTTTTACTACATGTATAATACTTTATTTTCTTTCAAAACAACCGAAATTTTACTAAACAAAGCTGGCATAACCTTTTCTTTTTTTAATCATTTACTGGCAAACAAGTGTTGTAAAATACCAGTATCCTATCAGATCACTTAATCGAAGGCTTGCATTTGCATGTTTACACAAATAGTATATTATAACATTGTACTTTATCTTTTTAACACTCACACTTCTCTATCTTATTTTAAGCAATGTGAAAGTAAACAAAATTGAGCATAGAAATGGCTGTACTTATTGCTACCATTTAATAGATAATGTATGAAGTGCCTTCTCGTCTTCTTTCGTCATCTAGATTTGAGTGTAGTCTACTTGTGGACAAGTTACATCTATATTGAAATCTGACAAAATCTGCAGGAGAAGTAACATTTTGAAAAATTGTTTACAGACAGATGAACACATTACTATCGCATATATAAGCTATTTTGGTCTTCAACCAGCAGAGCTTAAAAGAATAAAACATTTACTGTACACCAACTTTTACTCACAACGGCTTTATTTCGCGATTTACCGAGGATAAACTAGTTCGCGACAATTAATTTTTGTGATCAAGTCTATTTTTTATGTTTTTACTAGGCATATAGACTCTAAGGACCGGTTCGCGGCGAAAATTTCGCCATGACGGAGCTCTCGCGAAAATTTCTCGCACGCGAATAACAGTTGGTTTACAGTACTGGTATTAAGCTCTGATGAACACTATTATCTGGTCAGTGGTAACATGCATTCATTTCGTTGAGAATTTAGCTCAAGACTTGTACATTTCAATCCAAGTTTATTTTTAAATGAAATTTCATAAGAAATCTATTATGAATATTTGAATAATTTTCTTATCAAAATATAATCAATACAAATATCCTTAAGCTTAAGTATCTCCTTCTGTTTCTTGATTTCTTATGCGTCTCTTTAAAAATATTTATCATAAAGCACATTGCATACATTGGAACTATTTTTTTCACAGTGTATCCTCATGCATCGTCGCTATAAATAAACTAATTAATGACTGGCCGTGTAACTTCCCATTGACACTTCATTTAAGATTATCACCTGTTCGAATGCATCCTCCTGTGTTTTCTAAAGTAACTCTGATCAGAGAATGCCTTTCCACACACATCACATTTATAAGGCTTATCACCTGTATGTATCCTCATGTGGGTCTGCAAGTTCTGTGACTGGTTGAATGCCTTCCCACACACATCACATTTATAAGGCTTATCACCTGTATGTGTCCTCATGTGTTTCTGTAAGTCACCTGATTGTCTGAATGCCGTCCCACACACATCACATCTATAAGGCTTATCACCTGTATGTGTCCTCATGTGTGTCTGTAAGCTATGATACCGGTTGAATGCCTTCCCACACACATCACATTTATAAGGCTTTTCACCTGTATGTGTCCTCATGTGGGTCTGTAAGTTCTGTGACACGTTGAATGCCTTCCCACACACATCACATCTATAAGGCTTCTCACCTGTGTGTGTCCTCATGTGTCTCTGTAAGTCACTTGATTGTCTGAATGCCTTCCCACACACATCACAAGAATTATCACCTGTATGTGTTAACATGTGCCTATATAAATTTTCACTCTGATTAAACACCTTATCACAAACCATGCATTTATAAGGATTTGTTACAGATATTACTTTTGTGCTCTTATCATTCATGGTTGTATTCTCTACATGATCTAGGTTGTTTGATATTTCTTTTGAGGAAGAAAATATTTTTTCCGAATATTTGCATTGATCTCTTGGTAGTTCTTCAGAAATTTTATCTTCCCATTCAATATGCCTGGAATATGCAGGTTTTGATATATTGTCACCAATGGTGATGTTCTTGCTCACTTCCGTATCAGTAAGGATATCAGATAATCTCCTTTTTATTTGTCTTTCAACCTGTATGAAAAAGTATAAAATCATTACAAATTGCATAATCACAGCTGTATAAGACAAATGGCATTCATTAATAATTCATATCAATGGTTAAGTTTCTATTATAATTAACAAAATCTGCACTCATTTGTCTGTTGTTTTTATTTTGAAATAGTTTCTCATCCTGCGTTCCATTTAGGCCATCCATAAAAAAATATTCAATTACAGGGGCATAAAAATCTGACACAACTTGGAAAGTCAATCAATATCTTTTTTTTTTTTTTATTTTTTCATCTTTTTATAAACATATAAGAACAATGTATCTCTTTTTTATATGCCTTTCACTCTCACTTTCTCACTCATTCGTTTTGGTAAGTGGTGCTTATATTTGTTAATCAATATCCTACGATAATTGTAAACATAGCTGGAAACTCACCTGGCACTCTACAGATTTAACTGAATGTGAACAAACACTATTTTCTTTTCCTTTCTTTTGGCAATGCAAAACATGTCTTTTAAGGAAATCAGAGGTGCTAAAGCAGAGTTTGCAATGCTGGCACGGAAATATATCTGCGTCAACAGACATTGATATATAAATATATATTTGTAAATTGTCCATATACTGTAAACATATTATATTTGGCGGTGTTTTCTTTTTAGCGCTTTTGGCGGAAAGATACATCCGCTAATTCAAGTACATCGCTAAATGTCTTAAACATTGATACATGAATAAGAGCATTAAGAAATGCGCTAAATCAAATCTACGCTAATTTGTTTAAAAATCATTTTCCGCTAAATATCATACACGCTAAATATAATACATTTACAGTATTATATTTTTTCCTTTTTTTTTTTTTTAAACAAAAGTTCACTTAAATTTTGTTTGAAAATTTATTTTTCATTCAAGTAAGTTTTTATGAAATAATAATAATAGCATATAAGAAAATAAAACTATTACCCTCAGTCCTTAAATATGACTTGATATCCTTAAACAAACTGTATCCATGTTTGTATTTACAGTGTTTTCCAATATATTCTTTGCTGCTGAATCCCATTTGACACCAAGGACAGCAGAACACTTCTGAAAATAAAGAATAAATAAACTCATTATATGCACATACAATAATGCACAAACTTTAAAACATAGTATTTTTATTTGACATAGTGCAATTTTTATTACATGTATATATTATTTTTAAAAATTCGTAATTTCAAAATAGAAAAATTGTCTATTTAACCAAAACCCCCACAACTACTTCCATTTAATGGTTGATATTTCAACTTCTCAGAATTATAATTGTACATTCCACTTGCATAATAAAAAACTTACCCTCTCCATTCACAATTTTCGGAGTAACATCAATTTCTTCTCTATATATCCCTAGTTCTTTCCCATAGTCATTACCATACCATACCAAGAGCTCTGTTCCTGCAGGAATGTCTTTAAAAGATCTGTAATAGATCTGTCCTTTGTACTGAAACGCCACTACATTCTGTTCTGATTCTGATCTAGCACAATTGACGTATCTCATCCAATTACTGTAGGGTTCTTTGAAGGCATTCACAAAATGACTTGGTTGGCCCTTTTTATATATCTAGGCAAATTACAAAACAAGATTGAGCAGGTGTAAACAAGAAATTAATTTAGCCTTAAAAGAGTAATATTTGATAAGAGTCTCAAATGGCCCCTTAAATTGAATATCTTAATTTTACTACATGTATATTGTATAGCTTTAATATGTTCAGCTATACATCTTACCTTTATTAGTCATTGTCAATT